GCAAGTTGACAGAGGCGACGTTTTCACGCACATCAACAAACACATCAACAGAGTTGCATGCACCCTTTGATACTTTGCGCGACGTTCAGCGAGATCTTGGCAAGTCTTGGACGAGTTGAAACAGAGGAAAGCACAAGTAAACAGACCAAACAATGTGAATGTGGACACCGCCATCGCCCTCACTTGTGTGCGGTCGACGCCTCGTGCTGCTTTACTTGAAACTGGCTCAGCCCTTCACCGGTCCCGAAGTAGTGCTGGCACGTGCTGCAAACCCAGTTGCCGCTGCTGTTCTTCGCAGCGATTTGTGCAACAGGCAAACGCGATCTGTTCGCATGCGATGGGCATGCGGAAGTGGCAGGCAAGGGCAGGAGACACAAGTTGGGCAGCACGGGTTGAGAGGCCAGCTCTGCAGAGGCACGAATGCCACATGGTGCCAACTGGGTGGTGTCTGCATTTCGCGCATTTTTTTTTCTCAAACTTCGTCATGCTGCTGCTGCTACCGCTGCGGCTGCGGCTGCTGCTGTTCAGACTCCCGCTGCTGCTGCTTCCAGCCGCACGGGAAGCAGCACAACACGACTCCCGCAGCTGTCGCTGCCAGCTACACGGGCAGCAGTAGGACGACGTGTCCGTATGCACAGGATGACGATAGATTGATCCGCACTTCGCCGCGCACTTGATCTTGCGCGCAAGCTTGTGTGTTGTTGTTATTAGTGCTGCTGCGAGGCAGGTTATTGCATAATGCAAGCAAGGAAAAGTCACAGAACAGTCCTCTACACTCACTCTGCGTGCTGTTGCGAAGTCTCATGCTGCCCGGCGGTGCGCTCGTCCACTCCTGAACCGTCGCCGAAGTTGTATCCACAGCGGCAAACGAACTCCGAGCCATCTGCTCGCTCTCGGCAAACGCGGTTTAGCCAAGCCGTCTTGTCGAAGGGGGTCGTTGACAGGTATCCCCTCCCAAACGAGACTATGCTCATCGTGACCACTCCTCCCACGCNACCAAGCCGTCTTGTCGAACGGGGTCGTTGACAGGTATCCCCTCCCAAACGAGACTATGCTCATCGTGACCACTCCTCCCACGCTCTCTCTCTCCTCTTCTACGGACGGTATCGTTGCTGCGGTGCACGCAAGCT